TCACTAATCACGCAACGCCGACGTCCTACGTCATCCGCCTGGACAGTGAGAAAAAAGTGTTTATTACGTTTGAAATATGGGTATTTATCTTACAAAAATGCATGGATTCGCTACAGGAGGCCTTTATTCACCCCCCGGAGCCGTGTGAGGGAAGTTTTATTTCGGATGCGTCCACTTTATTTCACGTCTTCTGAACTGTTGACAACCAACACCCGCTTACCCCCATTGAAAGGCTTGGAGGGGCCAGGACAATTTTTAATATAACTCCAATTGGATTCGTCTGAAAGAAGAAAGTCACATACACCTAGGATGCTTTCAGGGTGAGTAAAACACAGGCTAATTTTCATTTTTTGGTGAACTAACCCTTTAACAAGAGGTTAATTGTTAGGTTGGAGTCATGTGGATTATTGTGATGTTTTAATCAGCTGTTTGCATTCTGACGGCACCCATTCACTGCAGAGGATTCACTGGTGAGTAAGTGATGTAATGCTACATTTTTCCAAATCTGGTGTGATGAAGAAACAAACTCATCTACATCTTAAATGGAATAAGTGTGAGCAATTTTCATCAGATTTTCATTTTTGGGTGAACTATTCCTTCAAGAAGTAGTGAAGAAACCATTTCAGATTTTTTTTGTACTTTTTTGTTTAAAGCTTGTCACCCCAGCTCCCCGTTAATTTTTTTTTTACATTTTTGTTTTACTTGGTCAGGTTTCCTTTACAGTTGGAAAATGGACAGACCGTGGAGAGAACAGTGGCACAATACTTCAGAGAAAAGTACAACTTACAGCTCAAATTTCCCCATCTACCCTGCCTGCAAGTGGGGCAGGAGCAGAAACACACGTACCTGCCTTTGGAGGTGAGAGTCAAGATATTTGATCAGTTACATTAGCTACCATTTTTTTCCACAGCCACCATCTCTTCTCTGATTTATGGATTCATTTCTAGACACTAAATTACACTTTTAGAAGATTTTCAGATTTCTTGATCCATTTTAATGGATCCAAAAGTGATTGTCCTCTTTATCACTCAGGTGTGCAACATTGTGGCAGGCCAGCGCTGCATTAAAAAATTAACAGACAACCAAACCTCCACCATGATCAAAGCCACAGCCCGCTCAGCACCGGACAGACAAGAGGAGATCAGCAGATTGGTGAGTTCAGTGTGTCGCTCTCTGATGCTGCAGTAATTCTTCAAGAATGTAGACTACCAAAATGTTGCTTTCATGGAAAAACAACATCTCTATTCTTCATGGTATCTAGGCGGAAAACCTAATCTGTCCCAAGGATTTTCAATCAGTCCCAACTCTAATCTTTCTGAATCCATAGGTGCGCAGTGCCAACTACAACTCGGACCCCTTCGTGCAGGAGTTCCAGTTCCGTGTGCGGGATGAGATGGCGGAGGTGACGGGTCGTGTCCTGCCCGCCCCTATGCTGCAGTATGGCGGCAGGGTGAGCTCTGAACACTTTATGGTACCCATTCCCTTTCACTCATGCACCGTATGTTTGTTTGTGTTTGAATAGAAGGCTAGAAATTGGTCATGGTTTGTGTCTAGATTTAACATTTAATATTGTAATTGATGTGTGCTAATTTTAATGTCTACAATTTGAGGGGAGTTGCTGTGTGGGTTTCTTTAAACAGAATAAGGTTTGTTGCTTGTGTTTAATTGCTTGCTTTTTCTGTCTTTTCGAATATCTTGCTTTTGCATTTGGAAAATGCATTTTCCTTTTATTATTTTTTATGTGTGTTTTATGGTAAATTGTGAATAACCGTGAATAATTCATTGTAACATGACAGCTGTATAGAAATACATATACTGTAAGTTCGGCCAAACATTAACACCCTATACTGCTTGAGTTCGTACACTATTTGATCTCAACAAATGAAGACAACCTTTGAATACATGTGTTACAGAATCGTACAGTGGCCACCCCAAGTCATGGCGTGTGGGACATGAGAGGCAAGCAGTTTCATACTGGTGTGGAGATTAAGATGTGGGCCATTGCTTGCTTTGCCACTCAGAGACAATGCAGAGAGGAAGTTCTCAAGTAAAGCTTTTTCCATCTTTTTGTCATTTACAAAGTACCATTTATTAATAGAACTAAATCAGAAATACTGAAGTGTCTCTCTTGTCTTTTTGCAGGGGCTTTACAGACCAGCTGCGGAAGATCTCTAAGGATGCAGGGATGCCCATACAGGGCCAGCCATGTTTCTGCAAATACGCTCAGGGAGCAGATAATGTGGAGCCCATGTTCCGCCACCTGAAAAACACCTATGCTGGCCTCCAACTCATCATTGTCATATTGCCTGGGAAAACTCCTGTCTATGGTAACTATATATGGACAGATGTTTATTTGGTCATTAAGTCCTCATCATTAGATTTGAATTAGTAGGGCGAATCTTCCTTTTCTTGTGACTTGCCAGTATGAGAGTGTTAATACATATGTTTTAACAGAAAAAATGGGCTTTAAACCTGATGTTCGGTTCATTTATGTGAATTGGTGCTGATTAATATTTTTATGGAAACTGATGTTTTTTCTGAAAACACTAACAGAAATGTAAGTTGGAGTTGGCGATCTTCACTTGCGATATTTTTCTTAAAGGAAAGTGTAATACAGCCAATCTGTTTTTCATGTGGTCATCTGCGCTGTTTGCTGTGGTTTTTGAGAGAACTTGTTTTGTACAATTTTCATAATGTAAAGTGTGTGTTAATTTATATAATAAATAATACATCAGGAAACTAGATGAGGTAAAATAACCCATGCAAGTTGACATTCCCTTGATTTGTGCTTATGTGGAAGTTCTGACAAAATCTAAAAAGAAATGTCTAAAATGACAATAATCGTGATTAAAAATCGAGATTATAATTTTTGAGTAAAATAATTATGATTATCAGTTTATCCGTTATCGTGCAGCTCTGCCATATTCAGAAGTATTCTTGAACTGTATTTTACGTCTTTATTTCTAGGTGCTGTACTACGAGTTGCTGGCCATACGAGAAGCTTGTATCAGCCTTGAGAAGGAATATCAACCGGGAATTACCTACATCGTCGTACAGAAACGTCACCACACTCGCCTCTTCTGCGCTGACCACACTGAGCGGGTGAATATGAGAGACTTCTCCTAAAAGCTTTGTTACATTTTCCTCACTTTTTCTTCTTTTTTTTTTTAACTCGCACACTCACTTTTCTTCTTTCTTCTTTCTTTATTTTCAAAGGTGGGCCGCAGTGGTAACATACCAGCAGGTACCACAGTGGACACTGATATCACCCATCCTTATGAATTTGACTTTTATCTGTGCAGCCATGCTGGAATACAGGTATGGTCACACAAACATAAGCACAACTATATTAGTGCATTTTAGGCATTTTTTTTGCTGCATTATTGCCTGTTAAATCAATTGATAGATTAACGGAGTTATTAAATCTATTCATAGTTTCACCATTTGGAAGATGGATGCATCTCATCAAAATGATTATTTAACCTCTTTTACCCAGGGTACAAGCCGACCATCACACTACCATGTGCTATGGGACGACAACTGCTTTACAGCCGATGAATTCCAGCTCTTGACCTACCAGCTATGCCACACATATGTACGCTGTACCCGCTCCGTTTCCATCCCTGCGCCTGCCTACTATGCCCACCTAGTGGCCTTTAGAGCCCGCTACCATTTAGTGGATAAAGAGCACGACAGGTATGAGATTTACTCGCCTGACTGTCGCTGTCTCGGTATCTATAAGTAGAAATGTTCTGTTTGATTCAAATTAAAGGCTTTTAGAAGTTGTCGATCACTTTGATTTGAGTAGGCTTTGCATATTCTTGGTTGCCGCAGGTGTTTCTTTGTCAAAGTAAGCCAGTATTCTTCATTTCAATGATTCAGAGTGATGGCTTGAATTCAGGAAGTTGAATTATTCAAGCTAGCCACCTAAAAGACAGATCACAATCACAGATTTGTGTGTTGCAATACCTTGTAAAAGTGCTATTTTATATCATTGGACTGTATCTACACATTTTCACAACTCTTGAGTGTTAAAACAGGAGATGTTTCCCTTTTCTTCTTTATATTTCTGTATGTTTCAAGTTAACACTTTTTAATAATTTTGAATGGTAGTGTACATACTGTATATATTTACATCTCCTTGGTATGTCAAGGAAAATGTATTTCATAGTGTAAATTTAGGCCTCTGCTCATTTCTTTCTCCTCTTTCACAGTGCGGAAGGCAGCCATGTATCAGGCCAGAGTAATGGCCGAGACCCCCAGGCCCTGGCCAAAGCTGTGCAGATCCATCACGACACTCTGAGGACCATGTACTTTGCTTAGCCGAGCCACCACAGACCTGTCAGTCTCTGGTCATTGTGCACTTAGCGGAGGAGGGCTTCTCCCAATCACAGGCTGCTAAAGAGAACCAAATGTAGAACTTACGGGAGGAACTAGCACTGTTATGCAATAGAAAAACAGCCAATCGTTACAGAAGCTTCACTTACTGATTGTTTTTAATATGTAGATTGCAGCTATACCATTATTTATTAGATTCATAGATCTGTTTAACTATTAATTTTGCCTATTTAGGTCACAAAACCAAGCTTAAAAAGGTTTGCTTGATCAACTCGTTCTAGATCAGCAAATGAAAGACAGTGTTATTTCTTTAAGACCGGAGTGATGAGCCCTACTTGTCTGGATTTCTCCTCCTACACAGTTTTGTTTCACAACTAATCATACACGCATGAAGTTGGACATCAGCATCGTCAGGTTCAGTTGAAAATGACAGACAGGTGTGTTCGAACAGAGTTTAAACTAATCTTATGAACCACTTTTGGTTTAGGATTAGTAGTTTATTAGGTTTGGTGAAGTCGGTCGTTGGAGGAATGCCACTAGAGGGCAGTGCAAAGTTTGCTATGACATCTTACTGTAGGTCCTCCACTGTTCCTCTGGACATTTGTTGCGCTAATCTGAGACCATTCTTGATGTTTTACTAGTAACTTAATAGAAAATCATGTTTTCCCAGCAAAATGTAATCTAGCATCTGCAAAAAACAAGACAACTGAAAAGTCATTCCATTTTGTTCCAACCAGTCGGAAATCCATATTTGTCTCTTTACATCTCATTTTCCATGTGTCCATGTCTTATTCTGCTTTTTGGACATTGGAGGCACCACTTTTCTTCCAATTCCACAGTCTTTCAAATGATTCTTTATACTTCTGTGATAGATTAACTTTCTAGTCCATGCGCTGTCTGGAAAATATTGCACCTACCATTGAACTATTGGTTCCTTGCGGTTCCTGACGGCTTTCTCCTCTGCTCGCTCATTATGCAGAGGTGACAGATTAGCTAAGAACTGCAGAATCACCAAAAGATGAACTTTGAAACTCAAGGGTTAGCAAAAAGTTTCCACAGTCAACGGTTATGTATGCGTGTTGAATGCTCTGTGCGTCATTCGGTTTGTGTGCGCTTACAACGCAAGCGTTCGAATCAGTCGGAGCGTGACCATAACATTTGATGGATGTGTGTGCACATATAATTCCACCCAAGGCTACTCAGACGCCTGCGTCATCCATTAATATTAACTTTACAGCTGTTAGACATTTTATTCTCATTTATGATCTTTGAGCTTATTTATAATGTTGCTTTTAACTTGCATCGTCAATAGCGCATCTGTAAATTATCTATTTAACTTAACAGTTTGTTAATTTCGCGTTTTAGCCCTGTGAACTCTGACAGACACTGTCCCATAAGCCTTTTAGTGCAATAAGCCAATTATTCACGGCTCTGTCGTAGACTTTCATTATACAATGCAAACCATACCTTATGAGTGAATGCTTTAATTTGAAGGTTTTGTTGTATGTGGCATTGTGTAAGAGAACTTGAATTGAAATGGATCATATGTTTTATGGCTGGAATGCTGGGTTGAGTTTACAGAGGAGATGGTTACTCTCATGGGTATGTTTTATGGGAAAGACTCGGTTTGCTGTCAATAAATCCTGGACAAACCTTTCATGTAAAAAGTCAAATGAGACAAAGTGTCTGTTTTATAGGAAATATCCCTAAAACGCAATTCTATTGGGGTATGTTTTAAATATATATTAAAAGTAAGTGGCATGTACATATGTTGGACAGAAATGTAGCTATTGAAACGGTTGTTATTAAGGTCTTTTTTTATTGTTAAGGCAATTTGAATAGTTGAACTAATATAGAACTGACTAAACCAAGTCCTAGGTCATTTTCTTTTGAACTTTCTTTTGAACTTTTAGACATTCTTTTGAACTTTGTTTTAAACATTTGGACATTATCTTTTGAGTTTTTAAATTGTCTTTTGAACTTTCAAACTCTATTTTGAACTTTGAAACGTTCTTTTGAAGGTTTGAATTTTCCAAAAAAAATTTGAGCCTTTCTTTTGAACCCTTTTCTTCAAACCCCTGCTTGTTCATAGCCCCTGTATATTCAACTGCATTCCACACAAACCAAACCAATGTGCCTCAGAAAACAGGGGTAGCAGAGAGTATTGAGTAAAGGCATTTGGATTGTAGTAGGGTAGGTGGAGGGTTATATTTGTTAACTCCATGGCCTCTGGCACACTTTACCATCGCCCTTAATGTGAAAGGCACTGTGGTCTTTCTGCTCTATAGCCACAAATACGTGTTGACCAGTGTAGCTGCTATTTTACATAAACTACATCTGCTTTTATATGTGGAGAGAGCAAGAGAGATTCTGAGAAATGACTGACAAATATATTGCTGCACTTACAAACAAAAAGCTGTACGGTCTCAGATTTGGCGAAACTCCCAAGGTGCTAAGAGGTGTGGTGCTGTAATTCGGGGATGTTAACTACGCTAATCTGTCTACTCGTCATTTACTGCGAAAATTATATCATTTTTTAATGTATGGAGTGTTTCACCAGGTGAAAAAAATTTTGATCTTTAGAGCCTTGTTTGGAAGTTTTTCATGGTGTAATTTTCGGTTAGCTTGTTAATTTTTAAGAAAAATCGTGTTGGTGAATTACCAAACCCACATACGTGATATTATATTCAAACAGCTGAAATAAAATGTCAGTTTTAGCAAGTTAACTGGAGTTTAGCTCTGTAAACAAAACAAACAAAAAAACCTTGCGCAAATGTCAAATTGTTTCGGTGCTCTTTTTTTGTTTTGATGTGTTGAGAACCGTTACTTCTCTGCCGCTACCAGCATTTGAACTTACTTGAATAAGGGGAATGATCAGTAGAACCTGTTTGGCTTTAAATGACCGCATATACAGCCTTCTGAAGTTGCCACGGAATAAATCGCTAAAAAAGTCCTTTAGGAGGGGCATTACATAGGGGTGGGGCTATTTTAGTTGGTGGGTGTGGCTTAAATGACACCTCCCACTAAAACTGTGACACGACACTCTCCACCCCTTGGCTTAAAGCTGGACTGTGGAAACCTTAAAGCATTTTTAATTCCGAGAAGTATATTTTTAAATAATGTAACTGCATAATGCACATTAATTATTTTTGCTAACAAAGTCTATGGCGACACTCTCCACCCCTTGGCTTAAAGCTGGACTGTGGAAACCTTAAAGCATTTTTAATTCCGAGGAGAAGTATATTTTTAAATAATGTAACTGCATAATGCACATTAATTATTTTTGCTAACAAAGTCTATGAAAGATAAGCAAAAGATGATAATAGTGATGTTAATCATCATAGTGACTAACAATTGGGCGAATATGCAATAGACTATTGATTAGTAGATTCGCCTCGTCTTGTTTTTCAAAAGAAAGTCGTTCGTGAGTGTCTCTGCATTGTCCTACGGTATTTATGAGCGAAATTATGTAGTTCACAAAGGGATGAACCTTCAGTCCTCTCGCGTTATTACTTTTATTGACTTAAACATGAAGGTACCGCCTCAAACACTTCCATTTAGTTGATAAAACAGGATGATTCACACACAAGCACAAGCGTCCTCTTGAACTCAATATAATAACTGTCTAAGCTAAAATGATAAATTGTTTTCTTCAAGCTTCGAGTATTTGCTGCTTGATGTTATTTTTCTGACTTTGCTGAGGTGAAGAATGAAGATTCATCCTTTGGGCAGACGAGTTAGTGGAATGTGCCTTTTCTGATGGTGCTGTTCTCAGACAGATAAAATACGACATTTTTAAGGGCCCAACTAGCCTATATTGAAGTTATATTGATATGATATGCTGTATAATGCGTGTTCAAGAGTGTTAAAACTGTATGTGTGGGTGTGATTGTGCCTCTTTATTCGCCAAGAACACATTAAATCACAGAGCTTGCCAGTTACAGGGTCTCTGGGCCAAACTTTCTACAAGGGTTATAGCTACTTTTTGTAAGGATTTGGCACTGCACAACTAATAGATCAAGCACTGACCAGGCAAGCTACCGTAAGGAGCCTGGAAACTCATCCCAAGCGGCGTTTTCCCATTATTTTTTTGTCTTCAAACCATTTTTAGCAACCAAGACAAATCCGTGTTCTCTATAGGTGATGAAATAGCAATAATGGAATTGGTAATGTCACTAATATTTGGCCTAAATTCCAGTTTTAGACACCTTTTCATAAATGAACTTCACAGATCCAGCTGTTACATTTATTAACATGATGGTTTGGTGATTACAAAATGAGGATATCTATATCTGTGATTAAATACAGCACATTATGTATCAGATTTATCATACTATGCAAGCTTCTTCTCATCTTGAAGGAGCTTCATAGGATTCTTTCAGCACTCAGCACTCTTTCCATTGTGATGCAACACATGTTCAGTGCTCTGATATAATGGTTTAGTTAAAGTGTGATGAAATAATATTAATGAATTGATAACAGAATTGTCCCGTTTTAAAATATATATTTGTCTCTTTTGTTTTATCGCCACCCTTCTAATTGTGGTCTTTCATTGGGTCTTTTTATTTGTTTGTTCTATTTAATTGCCGATATTTGAATTAAAACTGTATGTATGCAAACTTTGATGGAGATGTCTTTTGAACTGTTTGTCTTGAACAAAAATTATACATATGAATAAATATTGAATGTACATGCATTTTTGTTTATTGTGCAAGAGAGGAGTATGTAGTTCAGTGTTATTAACTATTAAAAATAATTTTTGGGTATTTTAAATAAAGCTGAAATAAAATGTAGTATTAGATTATTAACTATGAAAATGAGAAGTATTACTAAAACTGAAATAAAAATAAATTCAAGCTAAATATAAATATTACAAATATATATTTCATTCGTTATACATAGCATATAATTAATTTTTTTCAGATTAATATCCTCTCATAAATGTAAATAATAGCCATTGTAATTGTACTAATGTAGAAGGGTGAAATGAGAATGGCTAACAAGATTAGATATATAAAAATGTTGATAAATATTGTATTAATCCCACAAAGAAAAGAACAATGCCCCAAGAAATACATTATTTGAATGACAAGATACAACTCGTTGATTTAAATTTACCTTTTCTTACACATAGTTTGTAACAGTTAACTCCTCAATTCACTCACATACAGTTTAAAATAATAATATAGCTGAATTCTAAGTGAGTGAATAACTCACTTTATTTAATAATTTACTTGATACTTCCTTATTAATTTAGTTCCATATTGCAATGCAGGGAAGAATGTGCCTTGTAGAGGTGACGTCACTGTGGTAAAGTGCCATTACAAAATTCAACTACAAACTGGATCTTGTGAAAGACTACATGGCTTTGCCCTCGCTATATGTGACCCTGGACCACAAAACCAGTCTTAAGTAGCTGGGGTATATTTGTAGTAATAGCCAAAAATACATTGTATGGGTCAAAATTATAGATTTTTCTTTTATGCCAAAAATCATTAGGATATTAAGTAAAGATCATGTTCCATGAAGATATTTTGTACATTTCCTACTGTAAATATATCAAAACTTAATTTTTGATTAGTAATATGCATTGCTAAGGACTTCATTTGGACAACTTTAAAGGTGATTTTCACAGTATTTTGATTTTTTTGCACCCTTAGATTCAAGATATTCAAATAGTTGTATCTCGACCAAATATTGTCCTATACTAACAAACCATACATCAATGGAAAGCTTATTTATTCAGCTTTCAGGTGATGTATAAATTTCAATTTTGAAAAATTAACACTTAAGACTGGTTTTGTGGTCCAGGGTCACATATTATATTGGAAGCTGTTTCCACTACAGAATAAAAAATAAATAAAAATAAAATTTTCAAAGGTAATTGTGACTCTTTACCTCAGAATTCAGATTGTTTTCCCCCTCACAGTTCTGAGTTTATATTTCAGAATTGTGAGATGTAAACTCTCAATTCTGAGGGGAAAAAAGTCAGAATTGTGAGGAAAAAAATAATTTATATCTCACAATTCTGAGAAATAATTCTCAGGCGGTGAGTAAAAGTAATTGCAATAACCTTTTTTATTTTCTGATTCCGTGGCAGAAACAAGTTTCCATAATATTACATGAGCATTATTGCACAAAACATTCTCAACCATTTTTTAAAGATTACAATTATAGGAGGCTTACAGTTCATGTCTAGTAGCTTTGAGACCATCTATAGTCTATTTACTTCAAAAGTTGACAAAAAAAAATGTTTCAGCATTATAAAAATGACTAGAGATAGCAAGTAGCAACTTAAGTTGATGGCTGTGATGTAAACTGAAGGTTATTGGCTATTTTAAAGGCCAAGCTTCCTTTTTAAACGGGAAATATGACAGCACATATAGGAAACAGTTTTTGACAAACCATTTCACAAGGTGTTTAAATTTAAAAAACCATACCAAATTTGGAAAAGGCAAGTGCATCACTAGGAAAACTTTTGAAAGGATTTGCT